TTTTGGAGAAGATTGTTACATAGAAACATCCGCCTGATGCCACCCTCTTCAAAGAAATCCCATTTCCCGGTGATTTCCAGGGCTTCTGTGGCCCACAGTCATGACTGCTACAGAAAGAAGGCCCAATGCAGGAGGGAGAACTTATGCGCTGTTGCTGGCCTAGGCATGATGTTCTCATACCATTATCTTTATTGATATTTGTTATTACATAGTAGTTCTCATCTGGGAATACTTGCCATGTGCCAGGCACTGTACTATATTCAAACCTTATAATTTGTAAATATTATAGTTTCATGTCATCATAGTAATTATCAGAGTTTTCACCCCACTTATAGAAAAGAACCCTAAGGCTCCTGTATTTTAAGGATTTGCCCAGGCTGATGCAGCAAATGAAATCAGAAGCAGTGCTGAGTACTTGGTTATTTGATTACAAACCCCGTCTTCCCTGTACTTTGCTTCTCTGGGCTCTGCCTTATTGTGAAGCATCTTTAATGACTGTGATGGTGGAGGTCTTGGTCTTTGAAGTAGAAGCTTCAGTGCTTCATAAGCAGGGCTGTATCGGGGCAAAGTAGCTGGAAGTCAGAACTAAAGAATTTGAAAATATAGGTTTTTAGAGACTGTTATAAGTGTTAATTACAACAAACCTGAGTAGTGTCTAAATAATTTTTAATATATTTTTATTGATTTCAGAGAGGAAGGGAGAGGGAGAAAGAGATAGAAACAATGATGAGAGAGAATCATTGATTGGCTGCTTCCTGTATGCCTCTCACTGGGGATGGAGCCTGCAACCCCAGCATGTGCCCCGACTGGAAATCTAACCGTGACTTCCTGGTTTATAGGTCAACACTCAACCACTGAGCCATGCCAGCCAGGCTCAAGTAGAAGCTCTTGATTCGCAACAGCAGGCCCCCCAGAAAATGATAAGGCCACCTATAGGTTCAAGTATCTATCCTAATTATTTCAGTGCACTGGATTCTGAATCCACACAGAAGGGGACCCCTCCCCAACAAGGCCTCATGGCTGGCCTCGTGAAATTTTATCTCTGCCACTTACCAGCTGTGTGAGCCTGTGCACCTCACCTCTCGGCTTCAAGGTCCTCCTTATAAAATAGGACTGGTATTAGAGCATGACAGGTATATTTAAGGAGTCCTAGGAATTCATTCCAAGTGCAGTATGTGTATATCCCCACAACAACCTAATGGGGTGCTGTCAATGCCCCCAGCCAAGGCCATGGAGAGCACACCTTGGGGTGAACAAGCTGATGTTATGTCATCACAGTGAGGGAGACACTCACTTTGGGGTATTGTGAGGCATCTCAGTCAGAGGGTGTTGGAAGCAAAGAAGCAGAATCAGGAGGAGAAGTCTATTCAGAGAGTTACTGCAGGACCAGTTTACACAGTTGTGGGGAACTGGGCAAGTCCAAGATCCACAGAGCAGACCTCTGTCAGGAGGGGCAGCTGGAACTCTCAGCACAGCCCAAGCTGCAGCCCAGAGCGGAATCCACTCCCTCAGGGAAGCCTCACTCTGCACCTGGGATTCTTTAGCTGATGGATCCGGCTCAGTCACATTATCCAGCATGACCCCTGTCACTCAGTCAATGGCTTGTGGGCTTTAGTCACATCTACAAGATATCAACGTTTGATTGACTATCTGGGGCCTATAACCTAGCTGACACATAAAGCTGATCCTTAACCTCAGGGTTTGGGCTTGTAGGTGATCTTGGAAAGGATTTGAGAAATAGAGACTTTGTTCTAAATGGGATTCTTTTAGGAAGTGGGTGCTGGGGTGGGAAGTTCTATAATG